GAGAGAGAGAGAGAGAGAGATGTGAGAAAAGCGAAAGAATGAGAGAGACAGAGAGAGAAAGAGAAGAATGAGGTGGAGAGACCAAGGAACAGAAGGAGAAGAGAGATTGAGAGACACACAAGAGGTGAAGAAGATGGCCTAAAAGAGGTACAGGAGAACAAAAAATATGCATTACTATTACTATGAAGATTTTATATTTCTATTGGAGCCCAAATAAATTGTAAGGGATGTTCAGGTATTTAGTAAACAGCTGTACTAAACTGATCAAAACTATGGCTTCCCTATTATACTTTTACTTCATACGCTGGTCGAGGGACTCTCTTTTTGAAAATGGTAGCTTTAATAACGAAACTTTCTATTTTTTAAGAGTAAGCAAGAACGTTTTACGCCTCCATCTACACAATTTAGATCATTTAGGACGCTGGTGGCCGATTCCGACCCTCCCAGTCAGGGCTAACCCGGGCTGAAAGGGATACAACATTCCCAACAGAAAGACCCAAATACCCGATAGAGTTTAGAATTTTCTCCTCGCCCGAGAATCGAACTCGAATCTTGTGTTCGACAGCGAAGTGCCTAACCGCTACACCCCAGACGCTGGTCAACCCGGGCTGAGAGAGATGCAGCTTCCCAGCCCACAGACGAAAACACTCAATTAGAAACAACAACAACAACTTCCCCTTAAAGGGAATCGAACTCACATCCTTGTGTGTGTGTGTGTGTGTGTGTGTGTGTGTGTGTGTGTGTGTGTGTGTGTGTGTGTGACGGCTAAGTGCATCACCCCTACACCACAGACACTGATTTAAATTTTCTGACCAAAAGAATATTATACTGCATCAAAACTATAACGAACAAACCAAAAATAAAACGGCACAAAGAGCAAAGTAAACTACAACTGTATCAGTGAATGCTGTCATAATGTTCAGAGTCAAGGTGGGCAGTCATAAATACATCATTCTGAAAAAAAAAATGTATACGAAACTTGACAAACTATACAACGGTAATGTACAAACTAGCTATAACGTGAAAAAAATGAATCGCATTTAATATTTTTTGCTACATGACAGCAAGAGACAACATTGAAAATAGGTCTCATTCACAAGGGCACAGGGAGAGAGGGGGGAGGGGGGAGAGAGAGAGAGAGAGAGAGAGAGCGG